CCTCCCCCTCAGGTGAGGGGGCGCGCGGCGGCCGTTGGCGGTGACAGGTATCGCCGTTAGCGTCGGGAAGGGGGGGGTCGGCCTAGGCACCCCGCCGCCTCCCTGCCGCCCCGCCTGGCCGGGGGAGAAGCCGGAGCTGGGCCGGGGAGGCGGCGGGCAGGGCGCCGGGGGAGAGGGGAGGGTCGGGCGGCACGTCCTGTCCTCTCCGGCTGCTCCCGAGTCCAGTACTCCCGGGTCCGTCTGGACGGCGCTCACCTCGCCCCGGGATGGGCGTGCGGCAGCCCGGTGGGCAGCACCGGCCCCGGTCCCGCCGGCGGAGAGAGCCCAGCGGGGATGTCGGACCGGGAGAGCCGCGGGTCCGAGGCAGGCAACTTTTCCAGGGAGGAAAAGCAGCAGTGTGGCTACCGGGCTCACGCAGAAATGACCTATATTTCATGAACTGCCTTCTTTATTTAAAAAAAAAAAAAAAGTTTATAAGCCGAAGTCTAGCTTTGGCCATCTGTATGCGATGCTTGCTTGCATCGTTTGGGCTGAGTATGTGCATGCCCCGTTTCTGAACGGTGTGCCAGGTCTCCGTCCTGTGGGTGGGTAGGTAGGTAGGCGAAGGTTATGGTTTGATACCGTTGTATGCGGGTTTAGATGGGCTAAAGAATAAACAGGAAGCAGGCAAAACGCAAAACTTAACTTTTTGTTTTTTTAAAAATAAATCTTAAATGAACACCCAAAACAATAAAGGTTTTAGAGGGACTTTGTTGTTCAGAACCTTTCCTGAGTAGCAAGTGATGGATGGTTGCGTAAAAGAACAGAAATCTGGTGAATAATTATATGGCTCTAGAAATAATGTTTGGTGTTATGAAAGTTTATCGATCCAAGACACCACCATCGTCTTGTCAGGAAGGAAAACTGAAGAGATTTGTCTCTTACAAACAAAAAACTCTTGCATTGAAGTGGTTTTGGACCAGAAAGGTGCACCACGTAACATGAAGAGTGAAGTGTCTGCAGCATTGTAGATCTGAAGCTAGCCAAAAAGAGTGAGAGGTTTTGCCAGAAAGAAAGCCCGAGGGGCAATTACTGGTAGGCATAGGTGAGGTAAGAATATAGATGCTGCCCAAGTACAGCGATGTACCTTTCTGGAAAGTGTTTTTTGGTTTTCATCCTTCAACCCTTGAGTAGTGTTGATTAGACCAAACTTCTGTTCTTCCTTCCAGTTTCATTTCTAGGGCAATGTTTTAAGAAATCTGCTTTTTGCAGTGATCCAGAGATGTTTAAGTAATGTCTGATGCACTGTTGAGAGGAATTCAATAACTGTGTGTGGTGCACACGTGTATAGTTCCACTAATGAGAATATAAATATTATGGCTTCGTGGCTGTAAATAAAAGGGGAAGTTTTGCTGGAAAACCAGTGCACTGGTGGGAGGCAGTCTAAGCAACATCCCCTCGTCTGTGTTAGCTGAAATAGTGATGGTACTTTGAACATCTAGATCTGTACTGGTGTTCTAGCACCAGGTATTAAGTTACTGTGATACATAAAGCAACTAGCGTGAGGAGAACATAAATTGGAATGCATCGACTATATGCAGTTACATATAGCAGGAAAAATACATCTTTTTTTATATATTCTGTCTTTATAGTAGCATATTAAATTCTGGATCTTCGGTATGTGAAGATGATTGTTGCATACACATAAGGCATGTCAGTATTCTCCAGTAAATTCAGATTGCCTGTGCGGGCCTAAATGATGATAAATGTATAACGCAGAATGAGTTAACAGTGTGAGACAGTGCATTTCAGACCATTGGTTTACGTTAATTGAAACGTTGCAGGCACTAGGTAACGTTTGACTGATGAAGTTTGAATTCAGTCTTCAGCATCTTAGACTTGTTACAAGAAAACTTGGGGAAGTAGAGAGAAATTGGGACTCAGAATTCTGAGGCACAGTTGTGTTAAGTTTGGGAAGATTAAAACTATTGAATGGTAGCTTAACCTGAGAATTTAGAACTAACCTGTCCCTTTGTTATTTTTACATAGATAAAATGCTGCTTTCTCTGCATAGGACATTGAAGGTGAGACTTGAAATGTTGAGTTGATTGTTTTCTGTGCAGTGAAAGTACCATGTCTTTTTCTGGGGGGAGGGATAGGGGACAAAGAGAGAATTTTTTTTCCCTGATTTTCTTGGCCAAAACCTAGTTCTCTTTTCCACAGCTGCCCTACGGTACTCTGTCTAGTGGCTGCTGCCCATCCATCAAGAACTGGTAGTATTTGAGTGGCGCTGTCTAAAGTAATTTGGAATACTTTCAGGATGTGATGTGCCAGAAAGAAGTAAATGACTACTGAAATAATAAAAAGGTATCTAAAAAGTAATTTAACTCAATATAATCTCTAAGAGGAATGAAATGGTAAAAAATGTCTGCCTGCTCCCCAACTCTTGCATGGGCAGGGATCGTTGCACTTGTGAGTGGTCTTGGAAATTTATTTTTTTTGCTGTCTGGAATTTCTAATAGCTTAAAACAGCTCCTTGCAAGTGAATTGCCAGTTATGGAATACAAATACTTCTAGGAGTTTAGAGATGATTTTTTTTCTGCAGATTGGTTCTGTGGTATCCGTGAAATTCTTCAATGGCACTAAGCTAGTATCAGCTGCTCGTTAAAGGCACTGATGCCAGAACAGTGGTGCATCAGTTGCTGGGAATCCAACCCTGTAGTGAAATGATTCATACATACACATTTTCTTTTCTCAGTTGACAGCTATTTTTAAGAATAGCCGTCTTGCCTAGAAGGTTGATACCTAAGCAAAGGCAGCCTAGATAGCTAAAAATTTCTTTACCACCAAACATAATCTTATTTTTGCCAGACTTTAATATCTACACTAAAACATTTAAATTTACTTGATTTAAATTCATTCTTGTTATATCTCTGGTGCCGATCGGTCATTATAAAGGGATTGTGACGTTTTGGAGCTGTTGTCGGGAAGGCAACAATTTTTTGGACAAACCCAGATGTTGAGTTTGAAGTAAATGTCAGTTTGAAGCAATTTCTAATAATAATGGACAGCGATATCTGAATGATAGGAGATTACCTGAATAACTTCTTGAAATGAATGGGATTCGCTAGGTATATGTCTGCAGAAACGGTCTCAGAATGAAATAATGACACATCTGTCCAGTGTAGTTTAACTTTTCCTATGTGCTGCACAGGCACAATACCTTCCAGCTTACCTTCCAGTGAAGGTAAGCTATTGACCTTTTTTCCATTGTGTTCTTCTGAACTTTGCATTTGAAAGAGAAATTTAAGTTCTTTGTTTTAGAGATGAGTTTTATTTGCTTTCTTCTGAGACTTGTCAGTTGAATAATGGTAACTGTAAAGGGGACTGCAGTAGAAAGAGTGCTTACAGGTGAATAAGAGTGATCACGACACTGTAGCGTGTTCTGTACTTCATGCAGGCAAAATGTCTCTGTATTCATCTATTTATTTAATATGTGCATTTCAGCAGCCCATGCCTTGATTTAGCATATTTGGAATATGATAAATGTAGATGCATTTTACTAAACGCTTTTTGTTATTGTTTAGTTAAGCAATGGAAATTTGCAAGTACTCGTAGCTCCATTCATTATCACTCAGCATAATAATGGGTAAATTTAATCTTCCCGATTAAGATTATTTTGGTCACAAGAGACAGGGGAATGAAAATGAATCATTTTCTTGATGTTGCGCTGTGTCTGTGTTCTTCATATCTGCCTTTCTTTTCTCTAAAATCCTACTGCAGACAGCACTCTGACCTTTCAAACTGTGTTTGGACAATCTTGCTCTACATCAGACTTCTTTCAGATAGGAGACAGAAATTCAGAACAATCTAAATGCTGTTTCTCTTTTTATTGCTGATGGAGAGCTTTCTTAGATTTGAAGTAAGTTTTCTTTGTGCCAAACGGTTGACTTTTCTAGAATAAAATCTCTCTAGGGTATGCAGAAAGTCCTCTGGTTAATATATTGGCATTCCCAGAACCCACTAAAACTTAGGCTGGTTGCCAGACACCACTTAATGAGGATGCCGAATGTCTGGCACAAATCTGCATGAAAACCAGCAAAGAAGCTGGGGGTGGAAGTGCGTGCGGTGGGGAGAGGGGCTGGGAAGGCGACACATCCACACCCATAATTTATTTTTAATGTCTGCATTTTTGCAGAGAAACTAATCAGAAATCCGTACTGCTGCATTTTGAAAACTCATTGGGCGCAGGAGTCTGGATCCTCCTAATTGAGGTAGCTGTGTTCTCACAGGAATATAGTTTTATTATGAAAGTAATTTATGAGCTAGCGGGGTTAATTTTTGAGGAGAGCACCAAAAGAGGATGGGAAATGATAGTGATTTTGTGTTTTATTATCTGCTAAAACTGAAAAGCATTTGAAAATGTTGTTAGACAATTTAAGGGACAATGGAAGTCAGTGATTGCCAGCATCCACACAGAAAGGCTGTTAAAGTTACATGGCAGGGATAAATAAGCTACTGCTGCTAGAACACTTACAGTCAGTGTAAACCTGGGGTGTGTGGCTCTGTCTGATGCCACTGTGCTTAGGTTTTGCTACACATTAAGTAGAATTGCAGGTATAACAGACTCTCTGATGGCTAGGTAACTGTTTGAAAAAACAAACACTAGTCATATGCCAAGCTGAGGCATTTTTCCATTAGAGTGCTATTAGCAACAGAATATATTGTTTTGTGTTGAATCAAATGTTTAGTCTTAAAGGTTGAAACTGATTAAGCAAGCCTCGTTATATTCTAAACTGAACATTATTTCAGACACTTAAAGCAGTAACATTTTCAGCATTTTTCCCAGGCTTTAGTCTCTCCCCTACCCGGCTAAAAAAGCATTACTCCAATATAGACAAATTTATAAATAGACACTTGGCTGACAGGCATGACTGGAAATACTTTTTTTTTTTTTTTCCAAAATAATTCTAATAGGAGTTTTTTCACATGGCTGAATTCAGAAATGTGTGTGCTTGTTACTTGCTTTTGAATATAAATTTCAGTTGTGTATTTTACAAATTTGGGGAACTGTTTGTCTTAAGAGCAATTTTACTCTCTAGAATAGTGGCACCAGCTTGATGTGTACTTTTGGGTGGGACTAAATTGTAATCCTGATGCTCCTGTTTGGTTTCACTAAGATGAGATGATAAATGAAAATACTAACGTCGTTGGACTTTAATGCTGGTTGCAGTGGAAAAAAGGGCAAGTCTATTTCGACAGTCGTATGAGGATCTTTGCAAAGTTTTGTCTGTGTTGACACTGACTCCTTCCTGTCTATGGAACAGGGAAAACAAGCAATGAGAGTGGTGCACATCGTACCTACATTTTAAAACTACCATGTGTTTAGCAGTAGTTCTAAAAGGCAGGACAGTATCTCCTAGAAAAGATAATACACTCCTCAAGTGCTGCACAAGAGAATGGACTGGGTTGATGAAGTGTCTGTAGGAATTTCATTGTGTTTCCATCTCCTAGTGCTCTTGATTTCTTCCATGCTAAATACCCTGGTACTCTTTTTGTTGAAAACTGGTAATAAATCTGCTTCTGAAAAAACATAGTCATGATACTGAACTTGCTATTGCCTGTAAAAGATGAGTTTGGAGATGTCTATTCTTTTTGTATTCAGTATTTCATTTTGTTCCTGTGTTCTGAAATTGTCTGTAAAAGATGTACTGGCTTCTAGGGAATGTGTTTTTTCGAATGTTTGTGTGATAAATGTCGTGAAGTTTGGATGATTCTATTGTAGTCTTTGACCACCGAATGTATTTCAGTCATGATCTTAGAGCGCAATGCAACGTTCTGTTACAGTTTCTGTTAGAACGGATGTTAATGTTTAATAAAGCAAAATCTAGACTCTCTCCCACATTGAGAGAAGACTGGAAAACAGTGTTTTCTTCTGGATAAACCCTGACATTTACTCAGAAATTTAAAATAAGAGTTGACTCATCTGCCTAGTACTATCTAGCATATGCTGGTATAAGGCTACTGTGCTTTGTCTTTAATTTTCAGCATCCAGTACTTGCAAGCGTCTTCAAACAGTACTCTGTTTTTAAACACAACTTCCACTTCTCTTGGCTTCAAAGATTATTAGAAGGAAAATGTGTGATTATTTTTTAATTACCTTTTTATGTTGTGTAGCTGAGCCTATTATTTTGATTTCTCACACCTGTAACCTACTTGTTCTCCATTTCATAGAGGGAAAGGAGGGGGCAGTCTGTGACTGAGATATGAAGCAATCTCTTTAACAACCACCTTCTTCCACTGAGACTTCCGTGAAATTTTTACTGTGTGTTAATTAAGAGTGATCCATTATTACTTTGGACTAGTAAACACCTTTAAACATTCCATTAGGTGTTAATGACACATGAAGCAAGAATGAATATGAATTTGTTAATCCTGTATCTAGTAGGGAAGTACGATATGTAATTGCCTAAATGTAGCAGTGTTTCTTAAACTATTGGGTGTGAAAGGTATTGCTTCATTTTCGGCTTTTGCTTAACCAGTAGTTATTGAGTCTAGTGATGTTAATTTGTGGAGGGTATTATACAGAATTTTACCTGGACCTTTCCCATGGTTTGCCTGGGATTTTCGGAAGACAAAAGTGAGTTGCCTGGCTTCTGCCCAGTGGGTCAGAGTTGAGGAGCATAGGCAGGAGGTGTGGGAGAGAAGATGTGAGGAACGCTTATACTTAACCCAACTTAATCTCCATAGCTGTTGAACTGGCGCCTTCTGTGAAATACCAGATTGGTGTGTGTTCTTCTCCTATAATTTCACCTTAATGGATGACTGGTCTTGTAGGTTTCGCTTAACTAGTGTTAAGCAAAATAAAACTGAATGTTTGTAAAAAATGTGCGCAGATAAGATACAGTACTCCTAAATAAAGATTGCACCTGATCATATAAAAATCTAGACTTGGGCTGGCTAATAGCCTCTGTTGGCCAGTGCAGATTCCTCACCAGACTTGTATGGGTAGTGGAAGTGGAGGTTCTGTGAGTATTTCCAACACAGATGTTTTCTGTGTTTGACCCTTTCACATTCCTCTTACTGTTTTCATGACCTTCCTGGTATGCTTTTAGAAACGGCACATTTGAGATTAACTTTTTGCAAGTACTCAATTTTCATTTAAATGTTTTAAATTATGAATTATCCTTATTTAATTGGGAAGCCTAACATGTGATCAATCTACCCAATCAAAGCAGCTTGCATTATGTTGAATACAGGTTGGTGCCTACTTTCACATAGCTTTTAATAATAAAAAAAAATTTTAAAAGCTACCATCTGTTGATGAACAGAAATACTGCCAATGTTTGTCAAATGTGTGCTTTATC